GTCGAAAATTTTACTATTAAACTAAAGCTAAAAATAAACATATAATAAATATAAATTATACTAATAAAATTTACTAAAAAAATCTTCTAAAATATGCTAATAAAATCTACTAATATAACAATGATGTTGAATATCACTAGAAATGTTATATAGTCTAGTCTAAACTGAAAAACTACAGTTAGTCTAAAACTAGTCTGAAGCTAAAAACTTTAAATATGCTCTTAGTATTAAGACCAGACTAGTCTAAACCAGACTAAACTAATTAAATCTTAAAACTATAAACTATTAAAAACTGAACCAAACTGAACAAAAAAAAGACTAGACTAAACCAAACTAAACTGTTAATATTTCTAAACACCACTAGTATAATTTAGTAAAACAACTAAAAAACAAAAAGTTTATTATTAATATTAAAAAAAAACAACCATAACTTGATAAAAATAGATAAAAATTAAGATTTGGATGCTTAATAACTTCTTTAACAACCTTACTTAAAATCGATTTACTTACAGAATTCTAATCTGGTGTTATAAGTATTAGAGTTAAAAATTTAGCTAATCAGTATAGTATGGTTTTTAAAATCGGCCTGTACTATACTGATTTGCAAATTATAACAGGGGTTAAATCACCACACAAAAATTTTTTCAATTATCTTAATTAGCCAATCAAATTTCAAGATCAGGTGTAACGTAACACGATCAGGAAAATTCAAACGTTCGCTTTGTCAAAAACGATCATAACTCAAAATTTAGTCTATGAAACCGCCTTCTTTGTGTACTAATAAAAAAATTTCCTTGCAAATTTTTGATAAAAGAAACATTTTCAAGCTCTAACTTAATAGCAAATTACGTACCCTAATCTAATAACGTAAAATTTTACTTTGGAAAAATTTTGGGTGGAGAATTAACCAGAGTAGCAAATTATGCGGGAGATCATCATGTGATCTCTTGAATTTCAGCGTCATCCCCAACAGTACTGCCTTATTGGTAGATATTTAAAAAATCTTGTTGGATTTTGAAGTCAGACATATATTTTTGTTACTAATCGGATTTTAGTTTGTAAAACAATAATTATTTGTAAGATATACGTAATATAATTAATTTTGAATCGAATACATCAAGTATTATTTTATTCATAATCAATTTTTTTGCAATAGTTAAGTCACCATTGCTGACTATAATTCTTTCAATGGCCATGAGAGGAAGCTTCCTCTTCATCTTTTAAAACCTCTTCTTCAAACGAGGATCCAAACAAAACTTCGGCTTTAGGATGTATATCTTCTGCATCATATGCGGCTAATTCTTCAGAAAGATCCTCATGAACATTCGGTGGCTTTAAATAATCGAGATTAAATAAATAATAAATAATAAAAAACTTTCCTAAAACACATTGGTAGTTACCGTGGGAGCTGGAGGTGGCCGAAGTTCTCTCACAAGACCGACTTCGGCACCAGGTTTCTTTTATGCATAAATTGGTTAATGACATAAATTATCTAGCAAATAAGCTAAGAGCAAAAAATTGAAAGTACCTCTGGTACGGGTTTATAACCTTTAAGTTCTTTGATATATATATCTCGAATATAGTCGTTAGTCGAAACTATTTTACTTGATGAAAGACGAAACTTCTGATGAAATGGTGAACTCCTGGCGTAAAGTGAAACTCTAGGAAATATAAATGGCTGAACCATAATTGGTAGACGAATCCATTTTTCCATGATGTTGAAAGCTGAAACCTCTACCAAATGAAAAATAATGCTGAGGCTGAAATGTAAAATCATCCACAAAAATTTTTTTAGACACGTGCTCTATACCAATCAGATCGAATGATCTGATAATTCGTTTCGATTGGTTCCTCAAATAGAATGTCGAATATTTCAAGTAGATTTTATTACGTATGCATAAATAAAAAAATATATAGAATTCTTTGAATTCGATCCGGGTATTATGTTTCATGTGATTTAAGGACCGATCCTTGAAAGGGATCGATCAGGACTCGGTCCCAAAGGACCGATTAACATCCCCAAACGTTAGTACTAACTCTAGTTTAAAATTAGTTTTTTTTTTTTGTTTCCTCGTTTAAGAATACAACACTGCGACACAAGTACGCGGGCGATGCTGAAAACTGACCAACATATCATTTAATCAGCTTTTATAAAATGAATCCACGCGTATTTTTTGACATTGATATCGATGGACACCGAGGTTAGTCGCAGTGGTTTTACTGTTTCGTTTCAAAACCCACGAGCTTAGTTTTAATTTATCGTTGTTTCACTGCTAGTTGGCAGGTACATGGCTGCTTCAAATCGAGCAATATATAAGACCTTTACCAGCTGTTTGGAGACATCTCAATGGCAAAAACCGTCGTGCTTCAAACTCGTAAACTGAACCAATTATGACTTACATTATTCCATTGTGCTTCCAAAGGATTGTTATGGAACTATTTAAAGATGAGGTCCCTGTATGTATTTCTATTTTAAAAATCGAATGTAAATATAATGTTATATTGACTAGACGCTTAACATATTTATTTATGATATATATATATTTTTTCAGATAACCGCGGAAAATTTTAGAGCTCTCTGTACTGGTATGTAATTTCAACAAATTCCTTAGTTCTGCATTATTAATTACTATATTAACTCTATGAATAAAATTCCTTTAGGCGAAAAAGGTGTCGGAAAACAAAGCAATATGCCCCTTCATTACCGTGGTTCTATCTTTCATAGGTAATGTAGATTTTCATATAGAAATATTGAAATATTTGATCTTTTGTTTTAAAACAGTTTCTGACTCACTATGTTCTTTTAATAGGGTAATCAAAGGATTTATGATACAGGGAGGAGGTAATTGTATAGTCGACAATATCCTTTTAGATTTTTATTAAAAGAAAAAAAATTAGTGTTATGGCATTTAAGTTCCTAAGAACGCAAAAATTTAGATTTTACAAGAAGAAATGGTACCGGTGGTGAAAGTATTTATGGAGGGTCCTTTTCTGGTGAGTTATGTTATATTATTGAATGACTAACTTTTTTTGATTATGACGTTAATTAATTTGAAATAACTATCCTAGACGAAAATATGCGTCGTAAACATGATCAAGAAGGTCTCTTGACTATGGCAAATAAGGGACCAAATACTAACAATTCACAATTCCTTATAACTTTAAGGCCTACCCCCCATTTGGATGGTACCATCACTAACATTAAGCCTAATTAAATTTCAGGTAAAAAATAATACATTAAATAAAATTTACTTTTCAATAGGTAAACATGTAGTCTTTGGAAGGGTAGTTACTGGATTTGAAGTCGTCCAAGCAATTGAAAATACGCCTGTAGACGATGATGATCGCCCAATTGGCATTGCTATGATAGCACAGTGTGGTGAATTGGAATTGAAAATTCCTCCGAACGTAAAAAGTAGGCTTTTGTTGATGTTCATGCGCAAATAGTAACAAGTTGTTGTTATTGATATATTGCATCAACATTTCCTATAGTTAGAGATAAAACCAAGCAAAAGCATGTTGAGAAAAAGGAATCATCTGAATCCTCATCTGAATCTGGCTTTGGCTCGCAGAAAAAGAAGCGCAAAAAGTCTTCAAAGAGACCCAGATCGGAGTCTTCTGACCCGTCAAGTGAATCTAGCAGCGAATCTGAAGATGAACGTCGTAAGAAGAAAGACAAGAAAAAGAAAAAGGCTTCCAAGAAAAAACGTAAAGAAAAGAAAAGAAACCGTAGTATTTCTAAATCCCGTTCAAGATCACCTGTGACACGCCGCAAGTCACGTTCTAGGTCCGGTTCTCCGGATACTCGGCATGCCTCGCGTTCAAGATCCTACTCTCCGCGTCGTCGTTCAGCTTCCAAGTCGCGTCGATCTGTGTCTAAATCACGTGCTCGCAGAGCATCACGCTCTCGGAGCAGGAGTCCATTACCAAGACGTTTAACGATGGATAGTTATAGACCCGCTGATACATATATTCCATCACGTCGTCGAGAAAGGCGATCAAGAGTTCATGATCGAAGTCACAGTCCAAATCGTGATCGAGAAAGAAGTCGAGACCCAGTTCGCGGACGAAGTCGTGATAAAGCCCGAGATAAAAGTGAAAGCCGTCATCAATCTCAAAGTCGAGACAAAAGCCGAGGTCGTGATGACAGTCATGATCAAAGCCCAGTCCAAGATCAAAATCGAAGCCCAATTCGGAATAGTAATCGTGAACGAGATCGTTCCAGATCTAAGTCTCCG